ACCTGAATACCATTCACCAAGTTGATTCGGGAGTCTCTGTAGCATTTGACATTTAATGACTAACTTTCATCTTGAAAGTCTCCTGGAAATTTAAAACATACCAATCTCTTGGTGCTCATGTTTCTTTGACCACCCCTCATCTACTGACCCTCTATCTACCTACCTACCCCCTAAACATAAATTCATTCCTCAAGATTCTGTCCCCTGCCTGGCAGTATGGCTCAGTGGTGGAGCATCAACCTATAAACCAGGAGGTCACGTTTCAATTCCAGTCAGGGCACATGTTCATTCGTGTTTTGGGCTTGATCTATCATAGGAGGCATGCAGGAGGCAGCCAATTAATGATTCTCTCTCATCACTGATGTTTCTCTTCCTCTTTGAAATCAATTAAAATATCCTAGTGCATGTGTGTGTGTGTGTGTGTGTGTGTGTGTGTGTGTGTATATATATTAAGAGTATGTCTCCAGCCTGATGTAATCCCATCCTTTCCCTTAGGGATCCATCCTTAGGGATCTACCCTTAGGGATCTGTGACACAGAGTATGTTGTGTATCTACCCCCACCCCCCTCACTCCCACCCCCTCCGCCCCATGGATCAAAGGACCACTCTCGCCTCCTTTACACTCTAGATTTCTTTCTCAATGACCTTCTAGAAACTCACTGGCATTTTCAGAGTTCATTCCAACAGAACTCACAACTTTTCCCATCCCACATACCTCCTAAATGAATAACACCCATTTCTTCTAACAGGATTATGGTTTCCTGATCACCTAGGTCCAAAATCTCAATATAATTTTCAATTCTTTCCTCCATCTCAAGCCCACATACAAATAACTATAAAGTCTTAAAGGTTGACCATTGGTAATACTTCCCACATTGACCTCTTTTTCCCCTTCCCACCAACCTCCAAGCTAGTTGTGACCCTTAATACCTCTGCCTTTCTTTTTCTAAATCTGCCATCTTAATCTCCCACAATTCCCCTCACATACCTAGAATCTAACTCACCTGGGGTGCTTTTAGGACAAACCAAAGCCAAACCCCCGTCCCAGAACTTCTAACTGGCCTGGGAAGTGGGGTGATCTGGGCACAGGTATTGTTTGTGGTGCTTTTACTCGCAGATCATTTTAATACACAGCTGAAGTTTTCAACTGCTACCCAAATCAGAATAGTTTTCCCAAATGCACACCTTGTTTTCTTGCATCAAATTTATTCAGCTAGTTTTCTCTGATTTCCTACCATGGCACTTATTTCTTTCCCTCACACTACCTGTAGTCCATAATACTCTTAACAAATTTGTTCAATGTAATAACATAAATTAACCTGCAACTTTCATTCAAACCATCCCCAACAACTTCCTTCCTTCCAACCTTTTACCACGTGTACATATACAGCAAGTAGGTTTCTATAAAGTTTATTTTATTTTTGGCACCTAGACCTGACTTCCGGTAAGTAACCTCTCTCAACCTGCTTTCTCATCTCTAAATTAAATATTAATTAAATGACCGTTAAGTTTCTTTCTAGCACTCAGAGTATGATTCTACAATTATCAAAAGAAACTCGGACTACTCGTGAATGATGGAAGCTTCTAGCACATGTTTCCAGGTACCTCGTTCAAAACAGTTTTAGGTTATCTGATCGTTTTTGCAGTCAGAATTACTTACCATAGTTATATGGCTCTTCCACCTGACAGGTAACACCAATCTTTTTTTAACGGGGCAAAAGAGAACATTAAGGACTGCTTTTTAATCGCTGTGATCCCAATGCAGCCAGGATAACGGTAAGAAGTGTCATCACACAAGTTCTTAAGTCTGGATGCCAAGGTCCTGCCCCTTTTACAAACGGATGACATCACCTCGCTCATCTAAATCTGGCCAGAGGAAGCGCACATGCTCAGTCTTCAAATGCAGTTAACTGTTATATTAACATATGAAACATAATCATGGCAATAAAGTCATTTGCTACTTACTCCTGGGAGCTAAGTGCAAGCCATATATGCAGAAAAGCATCCCATGCCCTCACTTATGGTCACGTACATTCATGAGGAAGGGAAGACCTGCTAGTAGAGAATGAATGGTGGGCTCACATGCTGCAGAGGCGCTGGGCTTGCTGCTGAGAGGTGAAGACAATTCTGAGTCCAGTGCGGGTTCGGGCCCCACCCTAGGCGTCAGGAACTGTTTACCAGCACAAGCCAGGCCTGTTCTTCATCCCCAGACTGAAGATATCAAGCTAAGAAAACAGTTCAAAACTGCCTGATAAAATCATCCAAGAAGTATTTTTAAAAACCAGAATACCATGCCCCGGCCTGTGCTTCTCAGTGGTTACAGTGTTGGCCCTTGCACCGAAGAGTCTCGGGTTCAATTCCTGGTCAAGGGCATGTACCTGAGCTGCAGGTTCATTACCTGGCACTGCTTCTGACACATAGGGGAGGCAACCAATTAGTGTGTCTCTCCCATACTGACATCTCTCTCTCGCCCCCTCCTCCATTCCACTCTATCTAAAAGCAATGGAGCCAAAACTGGTTTGGCTCAGTGGATAGTGTCAGCCTGCGGACTGAAGGGTCCCAGGTTCGATTCCAGTCAAGGGTATGTATCTTGGTTGTGGGCACATCCCCTATGGGGGGTGTGCAGGAGGCAGCTAATCGATGTTCCTAGCTCTCTATTCCTCTCCCTTCCTATAAAAAATCTTCCTTCTCTATAAAAAAATCAATAAAATATATTTTTTAAAATAAATAAAAATAAAATGAAATAAATAAAAGCAATGGAAAACTATCCTTGGGCAAGTATTTAAAAAAAAAAAAAACCACAACCTGAATACCAAGCTCCTCCTCTGGAGATGCTTCTGAGCTATGACAAAGCCTTCTGAAATTGTTCATTTTTTAACTGGTGACCTATTTGTTTTCATATTTAGTTGAGAAACATTAAGCAAGACAGACTCTGAGATCTAGTTTTAGTTCTGGCATCCTTCTGCACATAGAATAATGCACTGGATAGGTGTTCAACAAATGTAGCAGCATGGCTTGAGAGTAGTCTGAGCAGATATTAGAAGAATCAACAATTTGTCCATTAAGTACATGATTATTTGAGTTATATCTAATCAGTGAAATAATGGGGAAAAAGTCCTCTGTCAGCTAGCCAAAAGGACTTAATGTTTTGTTTTCAAGATATTCAAAGATTCCAAATTCTTTCTTGCAATTAAAAAAAAACCTATATGGTGTGGAATTTTAGAACTGTCCAGACACTTTTTTGTTTCAGTATTTCAGTGTTTCAACAGGGATTGTTTTTGTTGGTGGTGGTGGTGGTTTTTGGTTTTTTTTTTTTTGCTAAACAGCTATGCTTAAAAATGGCCATGAAATATTAAGAAACGCTCTAGTAAGAAAAGATTTAGGAAAAGGAAACAATTTCAAAAACTAAATCAATCTTCCAGAAATGAATCCTGAGTTGCTTCCAATATCGATTTTAGGGTAGACATACGATTAGTTTCTGACTTGCTTCCTTTCACTTTAATAACCAGTTTTGTTTTGTTTTTTTCTTTTTTAGTCTTAACTGGAATGGTCTAGGGTTTGGATTTTGAACACCACAAAATAATTACAACGGACTATAACTTAAGGATTCACCTTAAGCCTTCACAAAAAGCAGCATTATCTTCCCCCCCCCCCCCCCCCTTGCATTTCATTTTTCTGCTAGGTTACATTTTATAAACTCGGTTGGCAGAAAACTACTCAATTACAGGAATCCTGGATTGGTTTTACTCACAAATAAATTCTCTGAATAAAACTCCCTTGAAAAAGAACTGGCAGTCAGCAATCAGGCTGGAGAGAATCTACTTCACAAAAAGGTCCACACTGCCGGGCTGCAGAGGAGGAGAAGGAGGAGGAACAGGACTGAGGAACAGAGGTCAGCTCGTCTACCTGGCATGTCCGCTTCCAGGGAGCAGGACCAGCACAGGGCAGCTAGCGATCCTGAAGGGATGTCAGCTCTGCCAATGCTGTCAGGGCCCTTGCACTTTAAATGACGCTCAGAATCAGGTTCAAAAGCATTTATGAGGACACACCCCAATGTTTTTTTTTTCCTTCCAGGTTTAAACCATCGTAAAGGAGGAAGTTTTGAATCTAAGTGTTTTTGCTTTGCCACCTGACAAGCCTGCATTCACCCACACCTCTGTCCTGTTGCTGCTTCTGAACGTGGGCCTGACACGCAGGCAGAGGACACACAGCGCTGAGCAGCAGCCGGCAGTTCTGTGCTGCAATCTTAATGCATTCCGCAGAGAGCCAGAAGTTAAAACTCCCCAGCATACCTCGTGCTCATAAACGTTATACATTTCTTTCAATAGCAACTACAGCTTCTTGTCTGGTTACTATCTCTGCAGACAGTCCTCACACCAGCTCATTACACTAAGGGTCTGAAGAACAGAAAAGGGTTGCACAGTTGTCTTGAGGGAGCCTGTATTTACACTTCATTCATTAAGGCATCCCAGTCTCAATGAAATACTGTTATTAGGGGGCCAGTGATAACATTGCATAACGTGAGCACCAGAGGAAGTTAGTTCACATTTTGAGATACTGGATTCTGAAGGAGCCTCCAAAACACAGATATACATGTGCTTTCAGAGATCAGAGATATCCCTTGATTATCCAATGTCACGAAAGGTCTAGCAGCTTGATGGAGCAGCACAGAAACAGGCTTTCTATCACTTCTAGATATGGGCCATTCCAAGACACTAAGACCTACACGAAAGCCTCTTGCTTACAAAACTGATTGTTTATACTAATTACATTTTTACTTCATAGCAACTCACTTGGGAATTTGTTGAAACAGAATTTGGATTACAAATTTTGATTAGTGCGTTTCTCAGGAAACATCTAGTTCAAAGTTTGAAGTCACCTGTGTCTAGATTCGGAATATTCAGGGAAAGAAATGAGTGTGCATGAAGAGTCAAAGCAAATGACTAACATCACCATCACAGTACAGGCCAATAAATGAAGAAATCAAGAGACAGTTTGTCATTAATATATTTCTGCATTATAGTTAACATATGTACTTTCTTCGTATCACCTTATTTTCCGTTATGTATTGATATTTTGTTATATTCAGACATGAGTACATTTCAACAGTCTTTTGCAATAAATATCATAAAATAATAGATTCGCATAATAAATATTCTTTACAATAAAAAAGTTTAACAGACTTTTGTCTTAAAAATAGTCAGAATTCAACTTTGTGATTTATACATAAAATATACAAAAAAGCACCACAATTTGTGGTTAAGGCAATGAAAACACAGAAGAGATTAGACTTGCTCAGCTGTTAACTAACCAAGGCAAAGGGACCGACCAGTCAGGAGCCAAGATCACTTGAGGCAGCATACTTCTCTGACACCCGCAGACGGATTAGCTATAAATATCAACGTCAGGGGCCCAAGTGCCCTCAACGACAGGAGAAATGTGGTGAAAGGTGTGGGGTGCGGAAGGAAGGTAGCTGAGACCTTCCCAAATAAGAAAGCCAGAACGAAGATCAGCAAGATACAACCAAGTATATCTCCAATGTGAAGATTTACACTGCAGAGTGAACCTAACATTACATACAAAAAAAAAAAAAACACAACACCAAACAAACAAAACCATGGCATGGCTACAATGAGACAATGCCAAAACTGAGGGGAGAGGACTCTCGAGGGGCAAGGAGGCAGTGGTTAAAGGAAAACGTTTATGTGATAACAAAAATATATCTTCCCAGGCTATGTAAGGGTCCAAGGCCTAGGAAGATAGCACTAACTGGAGACAGACTGAATACATAGCTTATTTAAGCAAGTAAAGGGCTGCTTTTTTAAACACCAATTTCCCTGCTCCTGGAATAACCCCAATCAAAAACAGCTCTCCATCACTGTCCCCTAGGGGTGTATGTGTGTGGTGATGGTGGTGGGGAGGGGGGTGTTGCATGGGCAATTTTGTAAGGTTGCTTGCAGAACAAAAAGGCTATACAAAACCCCAGCCCGTGGCTCCCAACACCCTCCTGAGGGGGGTGAGGGTGTGGCAGAAGCTCTTGTCCTGAGTGGGACCCAGTCCGTTCTCACTGACTGTCCATAAGAGGGTACCATCCACCAGTCAAGCCTTGGGAACAGGAGGAGAGAGGGCAGGAAACGGGGTAAGTCGTCAAGAAAATAAAAATCAGTATCCAATAGCATCGTTTTTCAACAGCCACCGCTCGGAAAGTTAGTTGGGGAGGTCCGAACACGCCCCTCCCAAGTCATGAGGGCTTGCCCTGAGCCCGGGAGGGGCAGCTCTCCAGCTTACAGTAGACGGTGTTGGAGTTCTTACACCTGCAGCCCGGGCGGTGGGTCCAGTCGTAACACCCCCGGCAGAGCTTCAGGCACCCCTTGGCAGGCGGGTAGCAGAGTAAGCACGGCAGGAACAGAGACATGGCCCCCATGCACAGGTACCGGGAGCAGCAGTGCGACTGGGAGCAGGAGCACGGGCTGTCCGAGTAGGAGTCGCCCTCGTCGTCGTTGGAGCAGTGGTAGAAGATGCCCTTGACCAGGCACATGCAGGTGCCGTACTCCACCATGCTCTCCGCCGAGCACAGGCACTGCCGGTCGCAGGCCAGGCAGGACGGCAGGGTCCGCGGGGCCGTGCACTCGCCGCACTTGCACTTGCCGCACCGCTCGCAGATGAACTGGTGCCGGGCCGGGTCTTCTTTCAGAGCGCCCTTCAAGTCGTCCGCCACCGGCAGCTGCTTGGGCTGGGTCCGAATGGCCCTCTCGGACCGATGGGCAGGGACGGGCCTGGCGGGCGGCGACCTTCCCAGCAGCCCCTGCTCAGAAGAGGCGCTGCCGCCGCTCCCCGAGCTGGCCGCGCTCCCGCTGCTGGTGGACCGGCTCAGCACGGGGCCCCGGGCGGGGTGATGGGACGGCCCCGCGTGGCCCAGGTGGCCCGCAGGTCGATGCTCGTAGTTGTTATTCACATTAATCGGTATGATCTCGTGAGTCCTCTCGTGCTTGTCTTGTCTCGGGGCTGTGCGGGGAGCGGGTCTTCTCCCCACGGACGGCCCTTCCGTGTATTCGTTGCTGCCTCGGATGGCTTTGATCTGGTCCAGGGACAGGATAGCAGCAGGTGGGATCTCTCTGTCATAGTCCAGCCTCTGCCGGCTGTCCAGGGCGGGCGGCTGGGTCAGGACCAACGAACTGCCGCTGCCATGCTGGTTTGGGGGATCCATGTGTAGGGATCTTGAATGGTGGCAATCAGCGGGAACCTGGCATGCATCTGAAATCCTAAAAGGAAATCGGACATGAAAAAGACAGAGAAAATAAATGGCAGGAAGTATTTCTTTTAGAAAGGGGATGGGGGGGGGGGAGGGGGGAGGAGCAACCCTGTCAAGTCACAAATTGCCTAAAGCACCTGGTAATGATCACCTTCATCAGTGGATTACAGGGATGCTGGGGTCCTGGCCGGGGTCCAATCCGAGAGAGGCCAGAGGCCCACATCACGGAGGAAGAATTCGGAGCAAGAGACCCCATGCCATAAAAATTAGGCTATTCCACTTGTAAAAAGCAGAATCAGGAAGCAATGCCTTCCTGTGGGTGAAACTAACAAGTAATGAAAATCTGCTCTCATAGGGAACACTGAGCATAAGCATTGGAATAGGAAGCTCGGTGTCCGTCCATCCCCATAAAGGAAAATACCCACTTCACAAAATGGCTTTGATGCTGTTGCTTTTTTTTTTTTTTTTTTTTTTTTTTTTTTTTTTTTTTTTTTTTTTTTTTTTTTTTTTTTGCCATTTGTTTACTGTTACAAGCATTTGACTCAGGATGAAGAAACTGGTCAAGGTATACCTCATCCGTTAAAAAAAAAAGAGAGATTCCAAACTAAAATGGAGTCTCAGAATAAGTTGTTTTCTGTAGCAACCAGGACTTTCAAGCTCCTTATTGATGTACGAGACGCAAAATGAATACAGACGAAGTCAGCAGTTCTTGGTGTTTATAGCTACAAAAGTGTGTGTGTGTGTGTGTGTGTGTGTGTGTGTGTGTGAGCATGAGCACGCACACACACCCCTCAATGTACAGTCTATTTGTGTTGAAGCGTATTCACATTTGAAATCATGAAAAGACTCATATAACAAGATAACTTTTCATGCACAAACAAATGTTAGGCCTTTAAAGCGGTGGGCATTTCAATTATCTGTATTTCCTCTAATTTAAAAATCTGCATCTACATGACAGCCTGGTTTTCAAAAGCACTGCCAACTCCGAATTAATGTGCTGCTTGTAATAAAAATAAGTACAGCAATACCCTGATAAAAATGAGCAGTTGTGCTTCCTTACCAGCAGTAAAAGACTACTCATTTATAATGCATTCCTTATAAAACAAACGACCAAACATAAAAACGTTTCCGTTTTCAATTAGTGGCAAACTAGATTATTTTTCACACAAATTCCTCCCAAAGTCTCCAGATTCCACTCAATTCAAGAATGAAAAGAAAAAATGCCTTTTCTCTACTGGCACTTTGAGTCAAAACATAAAATAAAAATAAAAGACAAGATAAAAATACAACACCACCAGCTTAAGGAATAAGGCAAATAGAAGTCCATTCCATCTAATAACTAGAGTGACTATCTTGCATGTTCATTTCTGGGGGCTCCTTCCCTCCTCCCAAGATGCTGCTCGATTCCTCCTCCCCTGCGCATGGGACCCACACGCTCACTACCTGCTGGGTCCAGCCCTGGTCCTTCCAGACTGGGAACAACCAGCCCCTGCACATCCCCCGTCCCCACACTTGTTCACCCCGGGCTTGGAAAGGAAGGAGTGTGTCCGGGAACTAAGGAGGACACACGATGGAGAAGGAGGAGGATTGGGAGAGTAGAAAACCCCCGAGTTCACGGCCCGAGGCCACCCGGTCCCCGCAGGCTGGGAAGGCCAGCAGAACGTGAGCGAGCCGCCCGGGCTTGAAGCCAGGTGCCTGGGCAGCAGGTCCCGTCCCCATCCACCCCCATAACACACACACACACACAGGTCCCGTCCCCATCCACCCCCCACAACACACACACACACACACACACACACACAGGTCCCGTCCCCATCCACCCCCCACAACACACACACACACACACACACACACACAGGTCCCGTCCCCATCCACCCCCACACACACACACACACACACACACACACACACACACAGGTCCCGTCCCCATCCACCCCCCACAACACACACACACACACACACACACACACACACACACACACAGGTCCCGTCCCCATCCACCCCCATCACACACACACACACACACACACACACACAGGTCCCGGCCCCATCCACCCCCCACAACACACACACACAGGTCCTGTCCCCATCCACCTCCCATAACACACACACACACACACACACAGGTCCCGTCCCCATCCACCCCCCACAACACACACACACACACACACACACACACAGGTCCCGTCCCCATCCACCCCCCACAACACACACACACACACACACACACACACACACACACAGGTCCCGTCCCCATCCACCCCCCATAACACACACACACACACACAGACACACACACACACAGGTCCCATCCCCATCCACCCCCCACAACACACACACACACACACACACACACAGGTCCCGTCCCCATCCACCCCCCATAACACACACACACACACACAGACACACACACACACAGGTCCCATCCCCATCCACCCCCCACAACACACACACACACACACACACACACACACACAGGTCCCGTCCCCATCCACCCCCCACAACACACACACACACACACACACACACACACACAGGTCCCGTCCCCATCCACCCCCCACAACACACACACACACACACACACACACACACACAGGTCCAGTCCCCATCCACCCCCCACAACACACACACACACACACACACCACACACACACACACACACACACACGCTGCCTGGGCAGCAGGTCCCGTCCCCATCCACCCCCTATAACACACACACACACACACACACACACAGGTCCCATCCCCATCCACCCCCCACAACACACACACACACACACACACAGGTCCCGTCCCCATCCACCCCCACCACACACACACACACACACACACACACACCCTGCTCCCTGGCTCGCCCCGCGAACACGCGATCCCGGTCGGTACCTCCTCGGACAGCCCTCACAGACGGGGGCCGCCGTGGTTCTCCGAAACCCGCCTGCGTCCCCGCCGGGGCGGCGCGCGGAGCCCGAGCGCGGCACGGACCGCGGACCGAGCGCCGCGCCGCTGCACCTGGGCGCCCGGCGGCCTCCCGGAGGGAGGGAGGCGCGGGGCCGGGGCCGGGGCCGGGGCCGGGGCCGGGGCCGGGGCCGGGGCCGGGGCCGGGGCCGGGGCCGGGGCCGGAGGGAGGGAGGGAGGCGCCGGGCCCGGGGCCAGAGGGGGGCGCGGGGCCGGAGCCGGGGCCGGAGCCGGAGGGGGGCGCGGGGCCGGGGCCGGAGCCGGAGCCGGAGGGAGGCGCGGGGCCGGGGCCGGGGCCGGAGGGAGGCGCGGGGCCGGAGCCGGAGCCGGAGGGAGGCGCGGGGCCGGGGCCGGGGCCGGAGCCGGAGGGAGGCGCGGGGCCGGGGCCGGGGCCGGAGCCGGAGGGAGGCGCGGGGCCGGCCGCACCGCAGCGCCGCCACAGCGCCCGGCCGGCGGGGAGCGCGCCCTCTGCGCTCCGGGCCCGGAGCGCTGAGTAAATAGTTGACGGGAGGAAGGAAAGGGAAAAAGTTATGAATGAAAACAAGCTCTCTCCCCGCCGGCGGGCGGGGGCGGGGGCGGAGGTGTCCGTGACTCGGAGGGCGGGCTGCCCTTTAAAGGGGCCGCGCCGCGCGCCGCCACCGGGCAGAGCGCGGGGCTGGGGCGCGGGGGGCTCTGCCCGCGGGGGACGCGAACCCGGGCTCTGCGCCCCGCACGCGCGCGCGCACACACACACGCGCACACACACGAGCGCGCTCACGGCGCGGCGCCCGCACGAACCAAAAAGCCCCAAGCCCTCCGGGGGGAAACCCCATCAGACTCCTCCAACCCTCCTCCTCTCACGCGGAGGGTTCCCCCAAAGGACGCCCGGGCCATGGCGCCGCCGCCGCCGCCGCTTCAGGAAACGGGACGGACGCCCTGCCCGCACCTGCCGCCCGCCCCCCACACTCACCTGGGCCGCGGCGGGGGCGGGGGCCCGAGTCCCGGGGCAGGCGGCGGGCCGGCGCCGCATCAAGCGCGACGGGGCGGGCGAGCGGGCATGGCCCGCGGCCCCTTCCGGCCGCGGCGCTCACGGCCCCGGCGCTCACCGCGCGCCTGGGCCCTCGCGGCTCAGCAGCATCCACCGCCGGGCTCTCCGCGGGCAGCGCGCCCAGGAGCCGGCGCGCAATCCCCTGGGTCCGAGGCTCCGAATCCCGAGCAGAGGGCTCCCTGGCGCGGACCGCTCCGGGCGAGCTCCACGTCCGGACTGTGGCGTCCCCCGCGGCCCGGGCCGGGTCTCGAACCGGCGTCTGTCTGCGACGGGGCCCAGGAGCGCACGCCCGCGAGGCCGAGGCCGAGGCCGCCGCTCCGCTCCCGGGGTGGGGGGTCTGGCTCCCCGCTCTCTGAAGGGAGCGAGGTTGGGGGGCTCTCCTGGGGAAAGGCGGGGCGTCGTGCGGCCCGCGAGGTCCCGGCACCGTCCGGGTCCGCGCCACGGGGCGTCCCGGCAGGTCAGCCTCCCGGGCCGGCGTCCACTCCCGGTCCTCCGAGCCTCCTGCGCGTCCGCCGAGGAGCCTGCGGCGGAGGGATGGGGAGAGAAATCACGTTAATGTCCCTCTTTCCGGGCGCCCGCTGCCATGTGCGGGCCGAGGCTGCGCCCCGTGATGGACAGGCCGGCGCGCGCGGTCGGCGTGTCAGCCCAGAACCGAAGTAACATGCGATTTTGCACGTTTTTTGCCCAAGTGCTTCGGCCCCCTCGGAACGCCCGAGAGTTCAAGCAGCGTTCAAGCGACGCCTCTGCGCATTGGAAATCAATACGCAGAGACGGGAAATTCAGGTTTTCAACAATCGCTCCTCCGACAATGCCTGAACAAACACGCACCGGGTCCGCGCGCCGAGCGCCAGCCCCTCTCCCTCCGCACACACCGCCCCGCGGGCCGCACCGGACCGCTTCGGACTTTAAACTGCTTACTTCTCCGATGGGGGAGGGAATCAAAGGGACCCTGCGGGTTTTCTTTTCTCTCATCGCCCACCCCGCGATAGCATTTACTTTGAGAGCACTGGGTTTTAGCAGTGGGAAGGCTCCTGGAAATTCGAATTGCAACCGCATAGAAAGCGAGTTCAAGGAAGCATTCAGTTCCTTGCAAAAGCCGACATCTCTCGCCTAATCTTTTGCTAAAACGCCTACCGAAGGAACGGAAGAAAACGGCTCTTACCTAACGCAAAGGCTGGAAACTGCTTTTCAGGCACGTTTCCCGCGGCCGTGGCTGCTCCTGATCGGGGCAGGGAGCTCTGTCCGCCGCTATCGCTCCGCACACCACGGCATGCCTCACAGAGCAATCCCACTCCAGCTCCCCACAATTTCAGCGCCTCGCCTCCACCTCCACCTCCACCCCAGGACACGCCTCCCGTGATATCATGTGTCAATCACATGGCTGCCTGAAAACCTGGAACAGGATTTCCCCAGCAGTTGTTTCCTCTTTCGTTATAAGTGCACCAACTTGGAAAAGTTGCACTGGACGCGCGCGTGCAAAAAACATCCTCTGAAAGGACGCCTCCGACAATTCCTGCAAGTGCAGCTTGCCATAAAAATAATACCTTCAAATGCACTAATCAATCTTCAGTTATCTCGGTTAAAAAATAAAATAAAAAGGGTTCTATAAAGTTGAATCAGAAAATGTTTGAAGAATAAAAGACTAAAAAGTTGTGTGTGAAGCCATAGCTTCTGATCAGCTAGAGAGAAAATGCATATTGATATAAAAAGATGGTAATATTTCAGTTCCTATGTAAAGCAAAATTCAGAAGATGCAAAATCTGAAAATTTGAAAGGTGGACTCCTTACTGCAAATGTGTATGACAATATGTCATAGAGCTAAAATTTCTTGCTGTCCATTTTATCATACTTGCTTCATCTTGATTTGTGATATAATTTCTCAAAAATCAATCAAACTTTAAAATTCCAAATTTCTTCAGATTTGTAATATATTTGTATACTTTTGCAAAAAAAAAGAAGCCCAACCTATTTATTTTTTTTAATCAGCTATATGCCAACCAATAAAAATAGAAATAATTTAACAAAAAGCTTTATAATTCTATTGTTACTGGGGTTTAAAAAATCATTTTTTACTAGTAGGAAACTTGCTTTTTGTTTCTTTTGAAACTAGATTTTAGATGTTTATTATCAAAATCACACTTAATGCTGCAGTTAGGCTAACTAATGTAAAATTTAAGATTCCTCAGAGACTTTTAAAAGACACCTAAAAATAAAAATACATAGTAAGTGGAAAGGAAATATTTCCTCCAGGTACTACATTTAAGAAGTAACTTAAAGTCTTTGGAAAAACAAACCAAACAAAATAAAACTCCAGGATTAAGTCCCATATAAATCTGAGTATTGAAAATTTTCAGTTCAAAGTAATTTTTAAATCTCCTTCTTCCCAATAACAAGTGATTCTGTTGAAACTGGCTTTTTTCTATGCTGGACTTACACATGTTTGAGCATGAGGGTGTCTTTGGAATTACCTGTAAGAAACCTAAGGCAGTGCAAAGACCATCAGCAAGAAAAAAAGCAGCACCAGAAAATAACATAGACCAATACTCATATTTACTCTTGCTCTTACTCTTTTAAATTGTAGTAAAATAGGCTGTTTAAAAAGATAAAAATCAACTTTATTGTAAACATTTTCTATTTTTTCATAGATATCATTATATTTTGGGATGCAATGAACTCTAATGATGGATAGGCTTTTTTACCATTATGAACTGATGTGTAACCATCAAATCAGAAATCGAATATCACGACATGGTACCTTATTTGGTTCTTCAAAATTGGTTTCTCAGCCATCATCACCCGTTTGGGTTTGGGATAGGAGGTCAGTTCACCAATATGATAAAACCAGGAGAGGGAGCACTCAACATTCTACTTCCATAAATCCTACAAAAAAGGTTCCATAGATTCCTATCACATGTAAACTTCCAACTATTTCCATCGTAGATGTCTGAAATTACAAATTCCATGAGACTAAGTATTTTTAAATTATAATAAGCTATAAAACGTGTGACATTTTATCTATAACACCTATCTATACATGGGTCATATTCTATTTATCGATAGAAATAAAATATTATGTGCACAAAGTTGACCAGTGACCCTTTACATCATTTAGCAATAAAATGCATATATATATATATATATATATATATATATATATATATATATATATTTTACATACTAGATTACAAATAAATAGGGGGGATAGCCTTGCCAACCTGGATCTAGCAGACATTTAATAAAAAAAACCCTTTCGTTTTGATTGCCTATAAGACTTTATAGAAATTCTAAATTTTCAGCTTAAAATTGACAGTGTTTTTTTGTTTAGTAAGTTTAATTACTATGCACCTTGGCTACAATTATATATTGCTGGAGTATAAAATTCTGAGGAGGAAAACAATGTAAATAAATATCTTTGGGAAAGTCTTACAATAATTTTCAGTTTACTACATTAAGACAGATCTAAATGAATAAAGTGGATGGAAACTGAGCCCTGACTTGTTCATTGTCTTGTGAAAACAAGATCAGCCATCTCTACTGTTGATTTGATTTTTTTGGGGGGGGGGGCGGGGGGGGGGGAGATAAAAAAAGTAATAAAATCCAGTAACTCCACCCAACTGCTAGTGATTTAAAAAAAAATAAAAAGTGGAGTACAGAGAAGCTTAACTTATTCATTTATCTACTTTATTTATCTACAAGTTTAAATTAAGTAATTGGTGCCAAAATTGCAGACCCATAATGTATTCCGAGCTCTCGAAAAATAATGCCTTAGTAATTCCTGTAATGTGTCTGCGGAGTCGTGATAACAAACCGAATCTTTTATCTTGTTGAGAAGCAAACAAACACAATCACAGAAGTTGGTGAGCTGGGTTATGAGTATCTAATAAACCAATGAAGAGCCAAGAACAAAACGAAGTCTCTCCTTTTAGGGCAATAGTCCCTATATTACTGTACTTCCCGAGAAAAGCTGGCAGGCGCAGTCCATTTTATTTTCAGTTTCCTTTTGTAAACAATCTTTGTAGTTGACAGAAATAGGCCAACATACCCGGTAAATTTTCCATAAACATTCTCTTCATTTTCATAAGCGTAATTCTCATCCTGCCCTATTTGAAATACAAATTCTCTGTATTAGTTTCAAATTCTGGAGGTGGGCACATCCAGCAATCCATTGAGTAAATGACACCGAATGATTTGTGGGATCCCTACCAGCTCTAAAATTCCACACCTCACCATTTGTGTCCTTTGTCACAAGTGACTGTTTTTCTACAAGTTGTAGGAAAAGAAAGACATGCAGATGGGAGGGCTCTGAATTGGTGCCTACGTGTCATATTCCTTCACAGAGAATCAAAGGGACCCGTGAGACAAACTGCATCACTTCTGTGTAGCAGAGATCTGACTGATGACACGCACATGGTAGGATTGTTTGAGGACACACCTTTGCTCTGGTGCAGTCTTCATTTCTTCTCTAGACAGCTGCATCATAAAACCAGTTTCTCTCCTCCTCCATGATAGTGTTTCCTTCTGAGCCCTCACGTGTCGTTCATTTTAAAGAGAAAACAGAATTTTCCATCTCTTCTGCTGATTTGGTTTTTGAAACAAGAAGTGGAGTGGCCCTTCTGATGACCACTTGGTATCATCTTAGATTATGATCGGCAAAAGTTACTGATCTCCCATTTCCATGTCTACCTACTGCTAGCTTCATCTTCAGAGACAAGTGCATAAAAACATAGCTTAATTTAAACTTATAACTGCCCCCACAGATAGAAGAGTAGAAAAAACAACAACCACATTTTTGTTAAAACAAAAGCAACTTAAAAGTCTTGCCACTTTAGTCTTTAATTCCTATTGAAATAACCTGCGCCAAAGACTATATAGTTTATCCTTTCTATGGGAAAATAAAAGTTCAATATTTATTTGATGGGTGACTCTAGGCATGTCTTCTATCAGAATGCCTAATACTGAAAAAAAGAAATCACAAAACACTTTTAAGAGGTTTTCTTTTTAAAAGAATTGATTGCATTTTCTTTGATTTGCAATTTTCTTGGAACATTCAAAATGATTCCACGTATAAAAACGTTTCCCACGGCCCGTCATAACCGATGGGAGGTATATATTAAAACCCTGAGTCTTTACTACACCCTTCTTCTGTGTCCTGGTCTATAAATTTAGCGGAGATACTGATTTTCTCATAACAACCCCATGCCCAGGATGGCGAACGTGAAAATGACATGGTATTGGAAAAGACCATCGGGCGTAAGGTCAGTTGATGTGGAGTTCACGTCCCAGCTTTGTTATTTTCTGGTTGGATGGCGAGCCTTCCTCATTGCTCTCAACCTGCTTTCTCCTTTACTAACCCGAAGTAATAAACAATACTTTGCCTTCCCACGTCACCGCACAGGTGGACTCAGCACGTGGGCAGTGCTTTCTGTGTACATTCGTGTGTTACCATCGCCTTGAACTCCCCGTGTGATGAAGAAGCGTTTCAGGCTCCGCCTTTCCTGGTGCTTCCTCCCCGCAATACTAAATGCATCTGTCTTCTAATTGTTTCAAATTCATTCCGCTTTACTTTTCTTTTCTTTTTTTCTCTCTCTCTCAAACTGAACGCTTAGGTTTAAGTAATTGAATGCTGTGTGTGGTGAGTGCGTGCATGTGTATGTATGTTATGGAGAAGCTAACTGCCAATAATTTCAGATTATGGAATTTAATGAGCCCTGGTCGCTTCAATACTTATCTGGAATTTTTCATCTTTTACATTTTACTTCTGGTGAAGATAAAGGTCATTGCAAATATTAGCAGGCACATCATAAAATGTGTAAACTCTGTGATCATAAAGAGTAAGATAAAAGCAGATGCATGTTTTTTAAAAAGTAACTGAATAACAATTTACAAGTTGAAAATAAGTAGAAAAGTAAAAACAAACAAACAAACAAAACATGATCCTTAATGCATATTTCCCGAAAGTACATTACTGCTGCTTCTTTTGAATAACCTCTTAGAATGTTAATTGTGATCATAAATATGGCAGATACAACTTCTGTCAATTACCAAAGTACTTTATGAATCTTAATGGCTTGTATCCCTTTTTTAAATTGGTGGCAGAGATTATTTCCCATCGCCAATGCATTTCAACTAACCAAAAACCCATGAAACGCCACCTATTGTTGAAAACAAGTCATTTCAAAGTTCAGTCAAAACCTGGAAAATGTGACAGCCTGGAACTGGGTACTCATGTTGACCCCGGTTTTAGAGGACCGTGCCCAGCTGTAGGTTAATGGTATGTGTTCTGAGCACCTGCGAGGTGGGCTAGGCTAAGCTACGCTCGGTAAGTTAGGTGACCTAA